AAAATTATTATTTTTTAAATTAATTTAAAAATTCCTTAATAATAAATATATTAAAAAATCAAATTTATTCAAATATAACAAGCTAACCTTCCAGCTTAATTGGTTGGCCACCAAGCTTTAGGGCTTGAGTAAAGCGGAAGTCAGGGTTTCGAACTCTGCCACCGCCATGAACTCTACCAACTTGCGATCTAATGGTCATACGCCTCAAATGAGAGGGTGGAACGTTCACTTTCCTAGAAAAATTTCAGCTGCTAACAAACTAACTCTACTAATTTCCTAACTATCTATCAAATCAAAAACAAAAAAAAAAAACCACCTTCCAGCCTACTTCCTGTTTTGAAGTTTCCACGATGTGACATATGATTTTCAGGATAAGTACAATTTGGTTGACTAACTTGTGGACTACGTCCAATAAAAAAAAGGTTAAATCCCCCTTTTTGGTCCCTCAACTATTGTACGGACCCCCGATTAAGTCCCTCAACTCAAAAAATCCCTGACTTGATCCTTACTGTTTACCATTTTTACCCCCAATTTGGTCATTCCGTTAAAAATCCCATTACCCATGCTGTTAATTCACTGTTTTAGGATGACGTGGCAAAACATTATACACGTGGCAAAAAAAATAATAATATAAAAATAAAAATAATATGAAAAATAAACTTTAAAAAATTCTTTCTTTTTTTCTTTTTCCTTCTCTTTTCCCTTCTCTTTTCCTTTCTCTTTACCCTTCCCCCCTTAGAAACCTAGCAGCCGCCGCTAGGTTCCTCAGAACCCAGTCGTTGGGTTCGTTCGAAAAACCCAGTAGATGGGTTCGAACGAACCTAGGCTCTGGGTTCCAAGGAACCAGGCGCTGGGTTCGACGAACCCAGGCTCTAGGTTCCAAGGAACCCAGTTGGGTTCGCCTGGGTTCATCGCCTGTGCTTGGGTTTGACGAACCCAGAGCCTGGGTTCCAAGGAACCTGGCGCTGGGTTCGACGAACCCAGGTCCAGGCGACGAACCCAGGCGATTTGGGTTCAGCTTGGGTTCGCCTGGGTTCGTTGCCTGTGCTTGGGTTTGACGAACCCAGGCGATCTGGGTTCGGCTTGGGTTCGACAAACCCAAATCACATGGGTTCAATGGACCCATGCGTTGGGTTCGACGAACCCAGCTAGGTTCGAAGGAACCCAGCGCCTGGGTTCGCTCTGGGTTCCTTCAAACCCGGTGCTGGGTTCGATCGAACCCAGGCACTGGGTTCTTCAACAAAAAAATAAATAAAAATTTCTGTGTAATTTCTGTGTTATTGTGGTTGTTGTTTGATGATGATGAATTGTTTTTGTGGGTGTTGTTTGATGATGATGATGATGATGAATTGATTGATGAAGAAGGAAAGGAAGAGAAAGGAGAAAGGGAATGAGGAACACCCAGTTGGGTTTGAAGGATCCCAGGCTCTGGGTTCAGGAAATGAAGAGGAAGGAGAAAGGAGAAAGGAGAAAGGGAACGAGGAAGGAGAAAGAATTTTTAAAATTTTTATTGCCATGTCACTAGCTTTTGCCATGTTTTCTTCCACGTGGATTAAAATTTTGACATGTCATCATCTTC